AAAGCCCTAATAAAAAGATAACTTAAACTTTTGAAAATGCTATTATAAAGACTAGATCTATGAAATGAAGCTAGAACTTATGAAACTGAATAAAAACAAGTTGATTTTTGTGAAGAGGTTGTTGTAATCAGCTAGACCATTGGAACTCTAAAAAGAATAATAAAGAAAAAGATTATATATTAAAAAACATATAAACTAGAGATATAGTTGTATCTACTTTTTTAGCCTATCTGAACTAAATGCTTGATAAAACTTGAATTAAATACTAAAGTAGTAGAGATATGTTGTGAAATAAGTACTAGAGGTAGAGTAAACTCTATAAGTACATAATAATTTAACAGTACATTCTAATTGCAAGTATTGGTCTTGACTATAGCATTACAAGAATAACTATTAAATAAGATACAAAAGATTTTGAAAGCTTTAGTATAAGGTCAAAAATTTTTTATATAAATAAACTACTTTAAAAACTTAGTGATTATAGTAAATTTTTATTATTATTAACTAAAGTCATTAATAAATATAGATAAATAGATAAATACAGGAACTAAAGTATTTAAAAAAGGAACTTATAAGCAGGTTTCAGGTATGACCACTAGTATAGAACTTTTGGATAGACTACTTAAATTAAACAATAACTAAAGTTGTATAAGTAACTAATTGTATACTCTTTCTATAGTTGCTCTTTGTAGTTATAATGCAACTATTAGCTAAATGTACTATCAATAAAATTCTGGATCACAAGTACTTATCTTAATATTTTTTAAAAAAAAATCATAAAATGTATTATTGATGCTCTTGGCTAGTAAAGAAAAAATAGATATAAGCTATAAATTGTTAAATCCTAATAATTTTTAGTGTATTATATGTAATATATCTCTTTGTTGCAATGTAGACCAGAATTATTTTTTATAATTCTATACTAATAATTAAAAAAATAAAATAAAAAAATAATAAGATGTAGTGACCTAGTGAAATAGTTAGGTTATCAACCCCCAAATAGTAGATTAGATGTTCAAATTCTATTGATAATAAAAATTAAAATAATCATTTATATAATATTCAAATTACAGCAACTGTTATTTATAATTAGATTAAGATACCTGTAATAGTAGTCACACTAGCATAACTGGCAAATTATAGAATATTTGTGTAACAAATTATACAGAAGAATGCAAACTGACAAATCAGATAGTGCAAACACTAGATAAGTCCTTATGTCTGTTTAAATTCATTAAAATTAGGTAACAAGAAGTCTTAAACAAAAAAGTAGCCAAATCTTTAATATTCCTACTATAAAGACTAGCTTAGAGAAACAGATATTAAGGTTGTAGTACCTAGTTGTAATAACTGAACAGACAAGAACCTTCAGATTGGAAGCCTCAAAGTTATTACTAACCAGACTACTAGAACAAACTGAAGAAAAAGGATATCAGGCCAATATGATATACTAATGGACTGGTCATAGTTCTACATAGGCTATCTGAATTGGAAGTTTGATAAAAAGCCTAAACAAAAGGCAAAAGTATACTAAAGTACTAAGGTTATGATGTGAAGTAGATGCTGAGGTCTGTGTAAACTCTACAAAAACACAACAGTTAAATAATATAACTCTAATCACAAGTATTAGTTCTGCTATAACAATATCTAGATTAGTTATAAAAATAGGTACAGAAGGCTTTGGGAGTTATCTTAAGAATAAATTAGTTTTAAGATTGAGATGATGATCTGGGCATCTGGATATGACCCAGTGAGTTAATACAGTTTACAGATGCAGAGGATTTAAAGTAAAACATCCAAGTAAAATATTAGATATGGCAATTGATAAGGAACCTTTAAGCAAACTCCTTAAATAGAAAATATAAAAAACTTACACATGTAACCAATTGTACTCTCTTTTATAGTAGTTTATAGAATCATATTACTAATAAGTAATTAATAATAATAAATATATAGAATAAACCTTTAGTAATCTTTTTAATTATATGTTACTTTTTATTTTTTTTTATTTTTTTCTATATATAACATAATTATTGCATTATATAATATTAAAATATTAATAATTTTAATTTTTAATTAAATAATTTATAATAGCATTTTGATATAGTTAATAAATTTTTTTTTAGTTTTCTTGCCTATATATCTTTTATTTAATAATATATAATTATATTTTTATATATAATAGTATATTAATGAAAGTACAACTAGTTATATATATAACTTTAGCTATTATCTAATTAAAGCTTCCACCTATAAGTTACTTACTAGATGACATATCTGAGACTTATCTTTGGATTTTCTATTTAAATTTTCTAATTTTTAATACTATTTATATATATACAATATTTATATTACTATTAAGTGACATATTAGATTAAGACTGTCTAATTACTATTTATATCAAAATACCATCTTATTAAATCTTATTAAGTATTTATAGTCCTTCAAATTTACTTTTGATGCAAACTTACTAAGTATAATACCAAGATTATCTCTTAAATTTTTATCTAATTTTAGTGTATCTCATATTTACTAAACTGATATTAGTATCAAAGATGTTTGAATTTCAGTAAGTTATTCCTTTTTTATAATTTTCTTTTATGTTCATTATATCATTTACTAGTATGTCTTCTCTCTATTTCTGATATATTCATCATTTCTCTCATATTAAGCATTAATTCTCTATATTGAAAAAATTTTTTCTAAGAACTTCTTTATATACTGATCTTTTATTTATATGAACTTAATCATAAGGCTTCATGTACATTCATATGCTTTCATAGATTACAGAGTTTTTGTCTCTAGCTAGAATTGAACTGTTAACCTTGTTTGTGGATAAAAGAGAATCTAAACCACTAGGTTACAAGACCCCAACCCCAAGTTAATAAATTAATTAGCTTATAATTAATAATTTCTGACTATTTTATAATTTATAAAACTTATAGAAACTTTGTAATATCATAATTTTTTAAATAGATAAGTTTTTAACTAAATTAGTCAAGGTGATCTAATCATATACACATTGATTTAGTCAATAAGTTTTATTAAAATTCAATAATGCTAGCTAAATTTTTCATAATATTAGTACTATATATTATATAGAATTTATATAAAATCCATATATTAAAACTTATGTATATTGTAAATTTGTAAAATATAATTTTCAATCCTAAGTGAAATATGTTTCTATATTAATTTTATCATTACACAGACCCAAATCTTAAAATTTTCTAATTTTGCAATTAAAAAATTAAAAAATTGAATTCCAGCCTATGAATCCTCATGTCATGCGTGGGATTTTTGAAAAAATCATGATTTGCCCATCTCCACACATATGTAATAAAACAATATATAATAAAGGCTTTGAGCTATACAAAAAAAGGGAAGTTCATGCTTGTAATAAAATTTGACTCTAATACCTTTCTGTTTTTACTATGTTATAATACCTGCGATTATAAACACACTACTTGCCAAATCTAAACACCTATTATTGACTAAGTTGTTCATAAGTTACATAACATATCCCATCAAGAAGCTACTGACTCACTGTTTCACTCATATCAATAGATCTGATTTAATGATTAAATCCAGATCTAATGCCTAAATCCAGATATCAATGATTAAATCTGAATTCAGGTATTTGCTCTATCTGAACCCTACTGATAATGCTGGAACTTTGATGTTTTTAATCCTAAAACCCAAAATAATTTTTCAATTTTCTTATATAAGCTTAATACTATTTCTTGTTATATGTAACTGATCTTATAAATTCTGATACAATCGATAAAAATTAATTGTCCAAATTCGAAAAATTTTTTGAATTTGGTGTTGTCAGATTATTGTAATTAGAGTTAAAATTTACATTTTATATATTTACAATATATGTAATTTCACATAAGTTTCATTAACATAGATTTCATGTAAATTTTATACATGATACGTATATAGTACTGACACTATGTATGAAAAACACAGCTAGCATTATTGAATTATAGTACATACTCCTACAATAAATTACCAGATGTAGATCATGTGATAAGAATGATCACCGATCATTTAACCTTAATTTTTTATTTTTATAAAAAAAATAGAACATTTTAGCCTAATACTATATAAAATAAAGTCTTTATTTTTTACTAAATCAAAAAAAAATCAATATTTAACATGCCAACTTTTAGCTTTATAGATAGCTTTAACTTGGTCAAGCATGCTTAAAATTAGGTTGCATAAGATTTCTAAAGATATCTTTGCCCATTCTTCTTGTATGGCTTTAATTAATTCATTCTTTGAACTGGTCAAGAGTTTTCTTTTTCAAACTTGACAATTAAGATAATTCCTAAATGTTCGATTGGGTTCAAATCTGGACTATATGGAACCCAATCTAAAATTGAAATATTATATGTTTACATCTACCATTTTGTATATTGTATCATGTGACATGAAGTCAAATCTTATTGAAATACTAAATTTGAATTGTCACGTATCCATGGTATTAAATTATTTGTAAGAATATTAACATATATGTCTCGATCCATCTTTTCATTAACTACTACTAATGATTCAACACCATCCTAACTAAAACATCACCAAAACATTATAGATCCACCATCATATTTAAAAGTAGGTTTAATACAGTTTATATTATATTCTTCTACTACTCTTCATCATACTTTTGTATGTCCATCAGATCTAAATAAAGCAAATCTTGATTCATCTGACCAAACAATACATTTCCATTCCTCATTCCAACTACATTTTGCTTGACATCACTTTAATCGTTTAATATGATCTTTATGCTTCAAAAAAGACTTAAAACAAGCAACATGACCTTTTAAATCAAAATTATAAAGATAGTTATGAATAGTATTAGGATGATAAGTTGTATTAAAATTAAGGTTTAATATGTTTGTAACTTTATTAAGAAGTAAAAATCTATCCTTTAAAATGATCCTTTGTAAAGAACGTTGATCACAGAATGAAAGAGCTTTTGAATGACCAGATCATTTTTTAGGATATGAAGAACCAGTTTTTTTATAATGATCTATAGTTTCATATACTGTTGTACAGGCAATACTCAGCGCAGCTGATATTTTTGAGGCATTTGAACCTGCAAGAAAAGCAATGATTATTTGGTCTCTTTGCTCATTTGTCAATTTGTTTCCATGCATGTTTGGTACAAAAAGAATCTAGAAAAAAATCCAGTTTTTATAAATATGGTTAACAATTGTGCCTTGGCCAAAAAGGGAAACAAAAGGCTTTTTGAAAATACTTAACTTCGAAAATGATCGTCACTGCTATGCCAAAATCCGGTAATTTATTGTAGGGGTGTGTAGTTTCTGCATAAAATTTCACTGGTCAAATCGATGTACATATGATCCAACCAATCATATGAGCATATGATCTTGTTTTTTACAAATTACATAAAAACCTTGTTACTGTCACAGGCTAAACTGATCCAGGAAACTATCGCGAAATGATCCATGAAGAATCGCGATACCCGTGACCTTGAACAATGAACGACGATCCCCCCTTGCAGTACAAGCCAAGCCCCATTAAACGCCGTAGATCCTATTGTCAAGGCACACTTACCCGATATAGCTTGACACCTTTCAAGGTAATATTACCTTTATAGGTAAAGCATGTGGCTGTGTGAGTGTGTCTCCAATTGATCGTATGGCTATGGGAGAAAGAACGTTGATTAGAATGCGGGAAAGAAACGCTGAATGAGCGAACAGTGAAGGCTGTGAGAGTAAGGGGTTGAAAGAGTTAATCGAAAAGGGAAGGAGATGACTTGGGGTTTATGAGGGAATGTGTGAAAAGCCAGAGGGAACGTTCAAAAATTCTCTTAGAAAATAATTACAAATAGATGATGAATTTCCCTCTTGTAATGTGTGCCCTACACAAAAGAAAAATAAACAAATAAAAGTCATATTAATAAAGCCCTAAATCCTCGAATAAATAAACCGTTCCTTAAAACTATACTTACTTTCTGTAACGTACTCAAAGTTGCCTTACCCGTGCTAAATCCTAACAATCGCCTCCAACACCCATTGAGGAACGTTACGCGACATATCCGTTTCTCTAGCGACAATTCGTCGCATTTGCCTTATCTCTATACACGCCTGGATTACCTGTGACATTACTAAACTTAACACCGAATTCAAAAACTTATCGACTTCGACAGATCAAAATTTTAACACTTCTCTTATCAATAACTCATACAGGGGGATCCCCAAAATTCCGGGTCGAAACCATCGGATTTAGCCCGGCATTTAGTTAGCACTTAGTAATACAAGTTAACCATTTCTGGGCCAAAATTATCAGCTGGGCAGCTTTACTTAATGAGTGGGCTATGGTTTCATTAGCAAAACTTTTAGTGATCTTGGGCAAAATTAGTTAATTCCGGCACTGTCGATCAGATTCCGAAGTATTCCTACCCAGAATTTTGGGGATCCCCCTGTATGAGTTCTTATCAACTGTAGGGATGTTAAGTGGTCCGCAGGGGGCTAGTTCCGGACCGGTTCTGGACTGGACTTTTTAGGGACCGTCCAGAACTAGTCTGAAACTAATCCAGATAATCACATGATACGAATCGAATGTCATTTTGACTTTTCGAATGAAATTCAATAAAACTTAAATCAAGAACAATACTTTTTAATTGTCATAATTTAAGGAAGTATAAATTTCTTTAATAGAGTTAGGTATTCTGATTGGTTGTCTTGGTGTTTTTTTTTTTTTTTTTTTTTTGCATAATACAATACAAAATATCAACATTGTATGTTAAACCACTAGAATTGGGCGGTTTCGGACACAGGGGTATGAACTAGTTTCTAACTAGTTCAGGATCAGGCTTTTTAAGGACCGGACCTGGACTGGACCAGACGGACTTTTTAACATCTCTAATCAACTGGCCCGGCCCGCCTGAGGGTTGACCCGCCCATCGACCCGGCCGTTGGGCCGGGTCGACCCGTATCACTTGTTTGTTGATTTTCTATGTTTCCGAAACTTACCGCCAGTTCAGGTTGGCCAAATTTGTGTTGTCCAGCCCAAACTGTACAATTAATTTTGCCACTTTCATTTATAATTGAAAAATGTCAAACATGCCAAAATTTATATGAATCTAATAAAAACAATTTTCAAAAAATTGTAAAAATAGCTGTTTCTATTGACAACGTCTCATATATAAATATTCGCTTAAAGTCTTTTTAAAAAATTAGAGGATACAATACCCTCAGTTATATAATATAGTATATTGGCTGTGATAGTCTGGCACACATTTCATTTTGTCAAAAATTACCTACAACTCAAAATTTCTCAACAAAAAAATTCCTTGCAAAATTTACAATAAAAATCCTCCCTTGCCTCATTCTAACGCTGGTAGCGAAAATTTTTTAGACTGTTGATGCTAGGGTCTTAAACCATATCTACTATCTCCCATTGTCTTTACAATTTTAACCATAAAACAATAAAATCACAGCCTGCATATAATTCATTTAAGAACCCTTGCGATGAACAATAGAAGGACCAAATTCGTCATATTCTTGTTTATTAATCCACATCTCTTGAAATTTTGGATGCTAAAGATATTATGAATATTAGCGTGAAACAATAGCAGGAAAAAAAAAATAAAACATAGATTATACACATACAGAAGCCAAGATTGAACCACCAATCCAGGTTAAATATTTGCGGTTTGGATAAGATACAACCTGAATGAATTTATGGCATGTTTAAAGCAATTGCTAATGATAAAAATACAGATACAATTGTGTGTATAATTATGAATTGATTACCTTTATCATAATGGCTGATATTATGATAAATTCAATTTTTAACAGAGAAAGAGTCATGTTAATATATGAAATAAGCTAAAAGCCGATTTAACAGTAAAAATGACCATATTGTGAGGTACAATAACGTGATAATAATGTAAGTTCCTTCTGTAATCTATCTGCAATTCCGGGATACATAGTATTGCCTCTATGAAATTTAAAAGCAGATCGATTATTAACTAAATATGTTTAATTTGATAAAAAATAATTTTATTAGCTTTGAAACAAATTTACCCAGAAAGAACAATGTTACTCAAAAGATCTTTATGAAACTTATCATCACACTTCATAATAGAATCATTAATAATTTGATGAATACCACCACCTTCAATATTTAATAAGGAAGGCTGAAAAAGGGCTTCTGGTGTACGGAAACTACAATTTTAAAAAAATTATATGTTCGAATGAATCAAGGCCAAAAATATTTTTAATGATTAAAATAACATACCGTTCATTACCAATAGTAATAACTTGGCCGTCAGGTAATTTATAAGATTTCTCCAAAGCGGAAGTTTGAGCAGCAGTTTGCATTTCCAACTCAAAATCCAATGCAACATAACAGAGTTCTTCTTTAATATCACGAAAAATCCCATATTCAGAAGAAGTCATGAGTGAATAACCACGTTTCATAAGAATTGTCATAAGGTATTCAGTCAAATCACGACCAGTCAAATCGAGACGGAGAATAGTATCAGGAAGAGTCTGACCTTCATGGACTGGTACTGCATAAGTGGCACCATCACCAGAGTCAAGAACAATACCAGTATCACGACCAGTTGAATGTAATGAAAGAACAGACTATTCATGAAATAATATTAATTTAGCTGATCAACACAAAATATGTATAAAACTAATAGTAAGTTATTGTAATAATAGTTTACTTGATTTGCAACATAAAGGGCAGGCACATTAAAAGCTTCAAACATATTTTGAGTCATCTTCTCTCGGTTAGCTTCATACTTCTTTCGATTAGATTCATGTTTTTTTATTTCAGATTCATGGTGTAGCGGCACTTCAGTTAAGAGCACAGGATGTTCCTCGGGAGCGACACGAAGTTCATTGTAAAATATATGATGCCAAATTTTTTCCATGTCATCCCAATTCATCACAATACCGTGCTCAATAGGATAATTAAGATTAAGAATATCACGTTTGGATAAGGCGTCATCTCCTATATATGAATCTTTCAGGTTCATGTTACAAAAAAGTGCTCCACGATGGCGACCTACAATAGAAGGGAAGACCTAAATATTACATTCAAATTAGAGCAAATTAATTTTATTGTGGACATAATACAGTCAAACCCCTCCATAGTCACCTTCTCTATAGTCGCAAAATTAATATAATTACAAATTTATTTTACCAATTATTTAGAACTATATAAAGAATACCTCTATATTAGCCACACCTCTTTATAATCATAGTTTTTTTTGGTTTGACTATATATATATATATATAATTTATTTAAATACAATATACAGTCATTTTCCTCTATAGTCACGCTATTTGTTTTAAATATAAAAGATGTGATTATAAAATTTTAATAGTAACGTGATTATATAAAGCTTTTACTAGATAGGGTGCTACAAAAAATGGTGCTTATAAAGAGGATGTAATTATATAGGAGGCGACTGTAGAAGAGGATGACTGAATTTTGAAAAAATCGGTTGTAGATTCTCTAACAAAATAAGACAAGTTACTCACTGCATGTGGGGAATCATCACCGGCAAAACCTGCTTTGCACATTCCAGAACCATTATCGATAATTATCTAAGATAATACAAAATTTGCATTGTATAAAAAAAAAAAATTCTTTTAAGAAAAATGCATTCAAACTACAAACGCATTACATATTAGGCAAAAAAGGTTTACAGTAGCAAATTTGACTTCCATAGAGTATTAACGAGTTTTTTTTGTCGTAATTTCATGTAACAGAAAAGTTTGTTTCATATGATTTTTTTTTTTTATTGATGGTTCAATGTTAGTATCATTAGTGTGAGAAATATAAGAAAATTACACTCTTTATAGACTAAGTATATTTTTACTTGTAATACAAATTTCTAAAATCAATGCCGTTTTTGTGCTTTTGACAAAAAAAAATTTACCGGTACAACTTGATTGGATGGTGTTTCTATATAGCTTAATTTTTACTTAAAATTTGGCAGAATAAAATGTGCATTAATGCGCATAATGTTTAGATCAATATTCTTCTATCGCTATATATCTCTCTAATATTTTTGATAATACATTGAACCAATTGGGTAGCTGTAATGCCTCTAACACTAGTTTTTATATAAATTAATTAATTGTAAATTGATTTGTGAATTGTTTGCTTATTAGATACAATGCGGGACAGCACAAACCAACAGCTTTTTATTAAAAACTGGCAAATTTATAATTACATAATCAATTATGATTTGCTAATTTTTATAGTCAATTGTGATTAGTTAAAAATTATGTGTTAATAGGGTGTCGTTGGCTCTCTAAATCAATATCAAACTTATACATATCTAATAATTGGACACTTGAACAATTGTGAACCCATTTATATCACATTTAATATAATCACGTTATGTAGTACAACCATATTATGCAGGTAGTACAAACCCTAACCATGACTGTTATACGAATGTTATTAATGTGATTATATAAGGTGTGATGTAAATGGGTTCACGATACTTCAATCTACCCCTAATAATAAGCTTATAAATTTAGAAATTTCAATTATAATACTTGCTTACCATCTTTATCACTTAACAAGTTAGCTGAATTGTGATAATTTTAAAAAAGTTAAAAAAAAATTTAATACCAAATTATTAATCATATCATTTCTTATTTGAAATTAATAACTTATCTAATATTGAATCACGAACTCATTTACTATTGAGATTACTAACATGCGAACTACTAAATTTGTAAATTATTTAGTATTAAAATCAAGAACCTATTTACTACAAAAGTCATAAATCAACCTAATATGTATTAGATTTATTAATTTACCTACTGAAATTACTAACTCTTACTATTAAGTCAGTACAGTTTACCATTTAACTTATAAACCTATTACCTATTAAAATTGCTAAAATTATCTACTAATGAAACTATGAACTATTTATTTTTAGACTTAATATTCGCAATTTATCTTGATAAGATTTTTAATTTTTAATAAAACTTCTAGGCTTTGATATGATTTTTAACTTTTAATTAATAATAAATTTACTAAATTAATTTGATGTACTAAAAATATTTTTAGAGTATCTTTAATTTAATAAAACTAATATAGCTTAATGTGTTTAAAATATTTTAAAAAAAGTAACATAAATAACATATAAAAATTTAATAAATCCATATATTTTTTAAAAACGGTTATTTTAATAATAATTAAATTATTAACAATCTATTTTACTAACAATTAATTTATTAACAATTTATTTTACCAAGAATTATTTTAATAATTATTTACTAATAACTTTTTAACAAAATTACATTAACCTTAACTCTAATTCTAATTTAATCTTAATAATAATATTTAGAATTACTTTGTTAGTAAAATAATTGTTAATAAAATATCTATTAGTATAATAAACTTATTAATTATTAAATTGACTGTTGATAAAAGAAACTATTAGTAAAGTAAATACTAGCAAAATAAGCATCATTTTTTTTAAATTTTTTTTAATATTAATGGTAAGGTCATGCCTCTATCTTTATCAAATATTTAATTAAGACCTTATATAGAGCACAATTCTACTTTTAAAATATTATAGAAAGAATAAAAGCTTAGACTAATTTATCTGTAACCTAAACCAACCAGAATTGCCAAGACTTATCTAGATTTGAGTGTTAGTAATTATATATAGAAGATTAGTTTGATATTTAATTTATTGGATATACTAAAAGTTTATTTTTAAACTAATAAAATTAAACAAAAAAGAACATAATAGAAGTAAAACAGAGTTTGATAATAAGTTATATTTAGGAGTTTGAGCTGTAAACCTTTAAATATAATAGAGAATTTAGATTTTATAATAAATTTGTTTTTTTTTAAATATTAATAATGAGGTTATATTTTTTAATTTTATTAAAGTTCAATTGAAATTTTTACAAAGAAAAGCTTGCTTTTAAATTACATATGAAGAATAAAGACTTAGACATATAATCTACAACCTAAACCTACAAGAGTGACCAAGGCTCATCTAGATTTGGATATTAGTAATAATATATGAGAGAGGAATATGATATTTAATTTATTAAATAGTCCAAAAATCAATTTTAGTAATAATTTGTAATATTGAGATAGGAGGTAATGATAGACTAAAAAGAGAATTATAAGTTGAGTTTATAGAAGATGTAATTGAAAACTGTGTTAAACATAAAATACAATATAGAATCCATATTTGTTGATTTAAATGAAAAAAAGTTTAATGAAAAAAAAGGTAGCTATACAGTAAAAAATAGAAGTATTATAAAGAATAGAAATAAGATTAATAGTAACTAAGCCAGATAAAGTAGAAATAAGAAATAATATATAAAAAAAGTTATGTAGTTTAAAACTGTTAAGTGTAAGAATTTCTTGATGTAAATTAGAAACAAAATTAGTAGACATGTTAAGAACAGTAGCATTTAAGATGCAGTTAAGAGAATTAGAAATTAAATAGTAAATTGTTTAAGTAAAAGAACAAAGAATCTAGTGTAATAAAGAACTAGTTTGATTGCATTGATGGCAAAAAGAAGAATAACAAGAGTTATGTTTATAAAAAGTATGAGAAACAGGTAGTTCATTTAAGAAAATTTTAACACAAAAGGTTTTTAAAATAGAGGAATAAAAGCTATAAGAAAATTAAAAACTTTTCGATTATTATTAATATAAAGCCAAGTGGCTTTTCAATTAATATTAGATAGTAGATCATTATTGAAAATAATGTTGAAATGTCCAAAGTATTATAATATGAGCTTGACAAATGGTACAGATAGAGTGTCAAATAGGAATCTTAATAGAAAATTAGTCAATAAATAGAATATATGCAGAGTTGTAAGAATTGTTATTTAAAAATATTAAAAAAGGTAGTATTTGATAACTGCAAGCAAGCTAGTTAGTAAGATTATTAAATAGGTCATCTTGATATATAATAACTTTGTAAAAAGTGAGCTAAATATTGTATAAATTAATGAAGTTAATAAGAGTTTGCCAAATAGAGAAGTATGGAGTATAAGTATAAAAGAGTTTAGAAGCTGATAAGCAAATACTGTGATATTTAGAGATTACAGATTGTGAGTAAATAAAGATATGAACAGAACAGTTTCTGGAAACAGTAATAATTGCTAAAAAAATAGCAAGAATTTTAACTTTAAAAGAGCATAGCCAAAGTTTAACTTGTGCTTAAAATAAATAAATAGTTGTAAAGTTATTAACTTGGATCTAGCCTATGCACATAGAGAATTAAGAGGTATTAAACTCAATAAAAGAACTATTAGTATAAAATAAAATAGTAATTAGATTATAATTAGAATTAGTAATAAACTGTAGGTTGTCAGTAAGTTGGCCTAACTGAAAAATGCAAGGTAATTGTTGTAAATTGATTATTAATGAGATTTTATAATAAATTTGTTGATTAAGATGAAGCAAAAATTTTATAATAAGTGTTGTGACTATTTTTTTAGATGACAAATTGCAATAATGTTAATAAGTTTATTTGGTATTAGACCTGTTAGTTAAAAAATTGAAGATGCATCTGATAAACTGTAAATAGTAATATTACTTAGTAGTTTAATTTAGTTGTATAAGTTAATTATAGTATTTGATATAATATTGAGTATATTAATATTACAAATATGTTTTAATAAAATGTCTATAAGGCTGTATAGTAATCAATTAAATGGGCAGATTATACAATAAAGATAATAACTGATTTGATGACATTGGTAACAAATTAGTGAATATAAATAATATCATTTATGTAAAATATATGAAATAGAAAGATCAGCTAGTAGAATTTTAATTCTAAAGAACTTAAGAATAGAAGACTGAAAGTTGTACAAGAAGTTTGAAATTTTTTGATTGTTATTAATATATAGCCAGATAGCTTGCCAATTAATTTAATTAAGAATTTGTGCTATTTTTAAAAATGGTTTTGTGTAATCTATAATATATAATATGTGCATGACATCTTGTACAGGTACTGCAATAAATAGATAATTCTAAAATAAAGGTTTCAAAGTTTAAAGTTTATATAAGTTTATAAATATTATAAGATATAAAAATAAGATATAGCAAATAGTGATGATAGCATATGAGTTAATTTGCAAGATTATTGTATTAATTATCCTGTTAAAAGTAACTTTGTAAAAAATATTGTATAATTTGATAAAATTAATAAGTATATTTATAATAAGAAGTATAATATATATATATAAAATAAAGTATAAGTTGAGTTTAAAAGACTGATATTTAGAGATTACTAACTATGAGTTAATGTATATATATATAATACAATTTCTAGAAGCAGTAATAAAAGCATATAAGATAGCAGTAAGTTCAAACTTAAATTAACAAGACCAATATTTTGTTTGGATTTGAAATATATGCAATATAGTATTGTTTAAAATTTGAGCTTATCTAATATCTATAAAGCATTGTAATATACCCAAGTTAATAACAAAGCCATCTGTATAAAAGTAAAGTTTTGATAATTGTGCATTGTAATTAGCAATTTGTTAAAGATTGTTTGTTAAAATACTAAGTTTAAAGATAGTTAGAATAGATTATATTGTAATGTTAATATTAAAAAAATTGGAAATTTTAATAGAATAATAAATTGTAATAAAGTATATAAGGTCAAGATAATTAGTATTAAAGTTAAAAGTTTTGTTATATATATTAACTTGATCAAAGAATCTTGTAAAGAGATTGATAGAAATATTGATTGTGCATTTATTAGCAATTGTATAAAAGTTAAGAGAGCAACCTGGGCATGCTTGTAATTAAATAAATAGAAGAGAATAGAAATGAGCAGTGTTGTTATAAAACAGTTGTAGACATGATTTGCACCTTTTTGAACATTTTTTAGATAAATAAATAAATTAAATTACTCAAATTTTATTAAGTTAAACTATTTTAACTTTTTAAATAAAAATATTTAGCACTATAAAAAATATATAATTATATATATTTTAAATTAATATATTAAATTTTGAAGCTTGTATATAATGTAAACATTCTTAAATATATGAATATTTAACTATTGAACATGGTCAAAACAAATCTTGAATATAGTAAACATGACAACACTAGAACAAGTAAATTGTAATTTTATATAGCATTGCTAATAAGTAATAAGAATAGTTTCTAATAAAAAAAGTTGTCTTCTAGTTTTATTAGTAATAATTTAATCTTTAAGTACTGTAATAAGTTATAGTTTTTTATATTAAAAAAATATTCAGTTGAATAACTATAATAATTAGTACTAGATAAATGTAAATATTAGTAAAAGATATAATTATATAAGTGGTTTGTGGTTTGGTCTTCTAAATAGTTAAACCAAAGTA